CCTTGTTGCATCTGCCTTACTTAAGGATGAAACTGAGGATAGTTTTATTTGGACTTTAAGAATGATTAACAAGTGCATGAATGATTTAATGCCGCAAGTAATATTTACGGATTCCGATCCAGCAATAGCTAGTGCAATACGTTTGGAATTTCCAAATTCTGTTCATTGTTTGTGCTTATTTCATATTGATCTTAATTTAAAAAAAAACCTTCGAAATAAGCTTAATTCAAGTGAATTTCAGGAGTTTCACAAGGACTTTTTTAAGTGTAGAAATACTATAGTTACAGAGTTGTTTGAAAGCCATTAGGAAGCTTTAAAATTAAAGTATACCTCAGCAATTGGCTATATAAAACGTCAATTAGATCCATTTAAGATGAAGTGGGCTGTGTGCTATATCAATAAACAATTCACCGCAGGTGCAAATAGTACGCAGCGTATAGAAAGTCTAAATCATAAAATTTATAGCTGTGTGGGGTCCAATTCGTCGCTTTTAGAATTGGTTAAAGAAATTCAGGATGTACTTGACAAAGAATCAAGTTATATGAGAATGGAGGAATATAAGGGCGAAATCCCTATGGTTGGGCTTGCAACAATACCTAAAACATTTTTTGAATCTATTGAAACAATTGTTTTGCAATATCTTATGCCACCGATGGTTTTTAAGGTTTGTGAACAAATGCATGAGTGTTTTTTTTATGATTGTGTTAAAATCAACCATTCAGATATTGAGTCAATATTGCAAGTAATAAACTTTGAATTATAGATTGTTAAATATCTTTTATTATACTAACACACTAACCTAATACATAACTAATTTTATAGGAGCAGGTGGATATGGATTATGATGAAGGAATGCGTGAAGACAATTATGAGCTTATGAAAGTTAATTTGGTTAATATAATCGAAAGAATTGGGCATGAACACATTATTGAAGTTTGGAAATTAGTATTGTCATGTGGAACTAAAAATCAATATGTTATAATCGCAGCAGACGGTTCTCATATCTGTACATGTAATCTTCTTATAACACATGGTTATCCATGTAGACATTTTTATAAAATTTTACGTTGCTCTTCTGAAGCTAAATGGCATATAGGATTAATCGCATGGCGGTGGTATAAGGATGATTTAGTAAAACAAGATGCGAATAAAATTTGGAATCAACCTTCTATTTCTTTATGTGTTGATACAATTCAAAACCAAAATATTACAAATCATGCATGTGATTTTGGATATTTAAAAGAAATTCGTAATTCTGACGTTTATACACCGGTGTTACAAGAAATCAATAGTACTCGCCAAAAGTATGGCCGTGCACATGGAATAATGCGAAAGGCTCTTGATTTGGCAATTGCCACTAGCTCATATAATGAATTAATAGGAATTTGTCAAGGTTTCATTTTGGATAAACAGCAAAATCATGAATCCTTAAAAGAAA